AGAGAGAGAGAGAGAGAGAGAGAGAGAGAGAGAGAGAGAGAGAGAGATCTGTATCTATACTAAGACAAATGATGGCACTGAGACAATGTACGTGCATTTAGACAAGTAACTGCAGTTTTCAGCCTGTGGGTATATCTGACATTTACATTACCATTATGAAGTAGCAATGGAATAATTTTATGGTTGGGGGTCACACAACATGAAGAACTGTTTTAAAGGGTCACAGCATTAGGAAGGTTGAGAATCACTGAGATAGAGAAAACTTCCATCTGTTCATATGCCAGAGACTATACTAGACATCCTGTATCTATGATAAAGCCGGTGACTGAAGAGCTATTGCACTTGTGAATCACACACTACACAGAGATAGTATGTGCCTGTATAGGTACAAGAGACCAGAGACACTTTGTCCCTGAACACACACAAGGGACTACTCAGTCTGTAACTGTACTCATGAGAGTGACTATATAAACATAGACACTACTTACTATCTGATTAGATTTTAATTATTCTTTTCACTCTTCCTCTCTCCCTCTTACTCTAGAATCAGTCTTTCTCAAAGGACCCAGGCTGTCCTGGAGATCTCCCTGCCTCACCTTCTTCCACACAGGGACTGTTTTAGGTTGTATGGTTGCAAGTCTATCCGTTCCACTATTGATGCATAAAGTGAGGACATGGCTGCTCTAAGGTATGGTTGAGGGTAAGGTTTTTTATTGTTGGTTTGGTTTTTATCATATATATGAAGGGGAGTACAGCCAAAGGTATCTAGAAGAGTCCAGAGCAGGGAGAGAAAGTAGTACATTGAATATGTCCAGAAGACTTGAACCAGGTCATGAGAAGATGGGGTGGAGGAAGCAAGAAAGAGAGGAAGATGGGGGCAGGGGAGGAAGAGAACCAAGAGAGCGCATGGCTGAAATAGCAAAGTTGTACAGGAATGAGAAGCTCTGGGGAGGGAAGCCCATGAGCTGGAGTGGTTTAGGGTGAGAAGAGCAGAGAGGAACCAAGAAGCCAGCCAGCATCCACTCAGTAACAGGTACTTTCAATGCTGAGAGAGGCCAACAGTATGCTCTTTGGTATGCTAATAGGTACCACAGTTAGCCCTTGGTCCCAGGTTTCTTTGGGAGCTGACACTACCTTCTCTGTTTTGTTGTCCATGAGCCCTCTTCTTTACACATTTCCTCTTATACCATTTCTCAATCTCTCTTATACAGATTACTAGGCTTACTCACTTTATTTTCCTTTCAGACCTACCCCTGGCAATAATACTGTGATGTCCTTGTTCTTTTAGTCTCCCAAAGTTGCTGAGTTGAAGTGGAAGTTGGCTTTGATTTAGACTATTACTGTATTTTCTAGAGGTTCTAACCATTGTGGAATGACTGAGAGATTGTGTCCAGGGCCATGGGCACATGAACTGAGGGTTACATTACTGAACTATTTAGTATTTGAGGAACAATAACACTTTAACCTTACTACAACCTAGTCACCCTGAAAACATCACATTTTAGCTGAAAGAATACAGTAGATAAAAATAAATACATTTTTTAATCAGTAAGCTAATACCAGGTATCCATAAGAAACAAAATGAATATGAAAAACCAAGGCAACCTGACTCTTCCAAAAACTACCAATTCCAAGTAATGGATCCCGGTGAGAATGAGTAAAGTGACATACCAGAGAACTCAAAAGGATGGCTGTAAGAATGTCCAATGATATCAAGCAAGACACAAAAAAAACTCTGAATGAATTCATAGAAAGTATAAACAACTCTGAAAACATGAAAAAAACCAACAAAAAGAAACAGTCAAAAATGAAATTTTATGCGGGGCGGTGGTGGCGCATGCCTTTAATCCCAGCACTTGGGAGGCAGAGGCAGACGGATTTCTGAGTTCGAGGCCAGCCTGGTCTACAGAGTGAGTTCCAGGACAGCCAAGGCTATACAGAGAAACCCTGTCTCGAAAAAAACAAACAAACAAAAAAAAATAAAAAAAATGAAATTTTATGAATGAAAGTATCAATTGGCCAATAAAAAGTTCAGTGGAAAGACTCACTAGTAGATCAGATAAGGAGCATAGACAACAAAATATGAAAGGCTGAAGACAAGATACTTACATGATTGCAGATGGACAGACAAATACACACACACAATCTCTCCCTCTCTTTTACACAAACATACACACGCACACATGCACGTGCATGTGCACACACACTCACAGAGCACTAATATATGACCTAATTTCTGGGTACAAAGAGTTTTAGTGAGCATATCACAGAGATGTTTCCTGCAGCACTAGTCCACATCTCCATGTTATGGAATTAGCCTAGGTGTCTATCAACAGTGAATAAACACTGAAAATATGGTCACAATAAAGTATATAACTGTATGCTAACATAAATGATGAGGGAGTTTCTAAGGAAAATATGACATAGACACATAAGGGAGTTTTAAGAAGCTATAAAGAACTAGATTATGTGATTTGCTAGGAAATGGACACATCCTACTAAGCAAAATAAGCCAGCGTCAGGAAAATAGTCATCTGTTTTTATTTCTCATTTGTGGAGCCTAGATTTTATACAGATAAAAGCAAGTATATGACATGAAAGCAGAGAAATTTGAGGAAGGAAAGTATCTTATCAAAAGGAAATGGGAGAGAAAATAGAGTAAGTGTATAGGAGACGAATATGGCCAAATTACATGATCCACTGAAACTGTCTTTACACAGTCCTCCAAGAGGAAGTTAAAGGAAGACAATTAGAGATATGGGAGGAAATAAAATGGGTGGTGATAAGAGAGGATAGTGAGTGTGATTTTATATGCACCTATAAAAATTTCAAAGTGAACCCTGTTTTGTATGATTAATATATACCAATTTAATAGGACTTACTGATATAAGCAACATACTTGGAATAAAATGATTTAACTAAATGTCACATTTTTATAAAAAATACAGATTGGGGTTCAGAGAGAGTTGGATTCCTATACACGAGCAATAAATAATCTCAAAAAGATTTCAAGTAAATAATTAAAAGAATTAAAAATATTTGAAAATAAATTTAACCAAGTTAAGTCCATGAATATACTCTGAAAATACAAAATACTGTTGAAAACATTAAGGACCTAAGTAAATAGAAACCGGGCTAGAATACTTAATATAATCAAGATAGCCATCCTCCTCAAATTGATATACAATCAATGAAATACAATGCCAATAGGGAATGGTTCAATCAGAGTCTTACGATGTGACCTAAGCTATCCTGTAACTCTCCATTCTGGCTTTACTTCCCCAGGGCCAAGATTACAGGTTTACACCAACATGCTCAGCATTAAATATACTATGTCAAATGCTTGGTGTACTACTACAAATATACATTGCTAACTTCTACCATTTGAATAAAAACAGCCACCTATAAGCATTCGCAAACTTGATTGATCAAACAGACTAAACGATTTAGGCTACCTGTTAAAACTCAAAATTGAAACCATTCTGTTTCTAATCTTTTATAATACATGAATTTCTTTTCCTTCCTTAACTTGCTGGTAACAGGTAAGTTGAGCCCAATGTAGGCTTCATCAGATAACACTGTTATTGACTGACTCACCTTATGAGCAGCAAAGCTTGCCTCCTTTTTCTCTAGTGCTCTTTTGGCATACTCTAGAGCTTCATACACTAAAACTTTCTTTTCCTCTTCTGAAGTCTTACTAAGCTGTGCTATGTCACGTGATGCTCGTGCCAACCGCCACAGTAGCTCTCCATCATCACTAATTTTAGACAAGATAGAAAAACATCTTACTTCACACTGAAAAACTGTTAAAGGACACACCATTAATGACAGTTCTTTCAGATTTACTAGGATATAGCAATTACCATATGAGACATTATCAATACTGCTATTTTCTTTCATAAAATCCGCATTTGCTAAAATCTGTTGAAAATTTCCAAATTATTTGCATATATTAACTTACCAATATATAATATATAAAACACTGACTTCCTTAGAAAATATTTATGTATTTCAGTTCTCTAAACATTTGTCCTCAAGCTCAAAATGTAACATGAGACTTGATTTATTAACACTATTTCATGCAATTCCTACCTGGTACAGAGAGTACCATAAAATACACAAGCTTTATGGACAGGATCCTACTCTACAGAAATGATAGTGCCAAATCATTTCATTTGCCTCAAATACATTTGCCAAACAACAGGTGTGTGAAAGTTCTTAGCTGTAAATGAAATAATGCAATCTGGAACTAAGTTTCAGTGCCATGTTGTATGGTCTATATCAAGTAAGGACAGTGGACTCCTTGAGGAACTGTTATGCAAATGCAATCATATAAAACAAAAATTGCTAACAAATTAAATATCACAGTTGATAAAAATTTTTAACCTTGAATTACTTTTTATTAAATGTGTGCATTTAAGCCTAATTTACACACACACACACACACACACACACACACACACATATATTTTGTTTTTCAAGACAGGATTTCTCTGTGTAGCCCTGGCTGTCCTGGAACTCACTCTATAGATTAGGCTGGCCTCGAACTCAGAAATCCGTCTGCCTCTGCCTCCCAAGTGCTGGGATTAAAGGCGTGCGCCACCACTGCCCAGCTATATTTTTCTTTGTTAACAAAGAATAGCAGTCACTTTAAAATGTTGAATCTAAAGGTATCAACAGTATGTTTATTATTCAGTTACACAGAGTAATTACACCTCACAGCTTACTTCTCAAAGAAGCAAGGTAAAAATGCCAAAACATCTAACTCATGAAGACAGACTGAAGATAAAGACTGATTCTATAGATATCTATCAACTAAAGTTGGTGGGAATGGGAGTGGGAGGGCTTTTGAAACTATTAACCAAAGTAGATGAAAAGCAACTCAATATTTCTACATTAAGAGAATGAAGTAAATACCTGGAAATGTCCTTTTCTCCGCCTCCCCTTTGAAAGAGTACACACTGACAATCTACACAAACCATGTAGTCTAGAAATAAAAGCATAAAACACAAGTATTTGTGTTTCTTTGATAACTCTTTCTAAACACAACTGCCATTCAGTAGTGCCATAGTACCAACCTAAACTCTAGTAAATTCATTAGAGTCTTATACCAGTCAGGAATTACTGTTTTAAAAACCAAGAAATGTGAGTGATGAGAAAATGTGTATATTTACTGACACTTTTATGAACCAAAGGAAAATTAAAAAAAAAATTCAACATTCCAGTAAAGAGCAATCTTTACAAATCAATAAGGTTTAAATAGCACTTTTCAGTCATTTACTTTAAATAATGATTTACTATAAACTGAACTCTAAGATATACTACTTTGAAGAAGAAAAATGTTATGTAAAAGTTTTAATACCAAGAACCATTTTACTTTTATCAAAATATTTCTGAGTTAACCTCAAACCCAGGACAATCATACACTGCTTACCTTTCCTTGTACTGTGTAAGCAACTGGTAAAGCTTTTCTGTTTCTCCACTTTCATAGAGGTAGTCTGCTTGCTCAAGTATTTCTTCAACTTCCAAAACCATGAAATGAAAAAAATGTATCACTTTTATATATGTTAAAAAAAACGAAAAACTGCCTTTAAGTCAGAAATTCTGAACCATCTAGATAAAAGTACTGCAGTAGTAAGCATGAAGTGATTATAGTAAATGATCTTCTGAAATCACAGGACATACAACTCAGAAAGACACTAAATTTGATGAATACAGTTTTTAAAAATGAAAAAAGGTGATTTCTTATGGGGTACTTATGGCACAGAAGCATGTACAATCTCTTGCCTGCTGCTGCTAATTTACTAAGTACCATGCACTGTAGAAATGACACAGACTGGAGAGACGGTTCAGGGGTTATGCCTAGAGTTTGGTTCCCAGTGCATCTGCTGGCTCACAACCAACCAACCTACATCTCTAGCTGGGTCAGCCGTCCTCTCCTATGCTGCTTGCATAATGTTCATACATATTACCTCCCCCCACTACTATTTAACTCCAATTTCTAATACATTATACACTACAGGCTTTATAATATGTGTAAACTCTTTTGATTCTAAAGAGGAATTCTGAAAACTAAACGGTGTGTGATATGTACAAAAAATGCAGTTATAATATGACAGGCTTACATAGCTACTCTGGTAGGGGTGTGCAGCTCCATGAACATATCTGAAAATTTGTTACTGTCTTATTTAACATTCCACACTATCATGAAAATGTAAACCACATTCTATAAAACAAACTAAGCTTTTAGAGTAAATTACTTTCAACTTAACTTATGACAATATAGATATCCTCAGATGAGTAAGAAACAAAACAATAAAATGAAATCTTAAACTTGACCTAAAAAAATACACACCAATTCAGAACACTTTTCCAAAACTTTTCAAAGAAAGCCATGCCAATCATGTGAATGCTGTCATGTATGCACTAGGACCCTTTGGCTTTCTGGTCCTTCTTATGAAATGAACTGCAGTCACATCAGAGTTACCAGGAAAAAAATAAAATACCCCTTACGATTTTCTCAGGCAATAAAAATTTCCACACTCCTGTGTTTTCTTTGAATAGGGTTTAATATATGAAAAATATGTATACTGACAGTCAAAGATCAATATAATATCAAGATCCAGAGCCAAGGCAAATCTTTCACACCAGTAATTCTGTGTCTCAGTAGTACAGAAAGCAATGTTATTAAAAATATTAGTACTTAAGTGATATTGAACATCTGTAGGCTTGTTCATCCTTGACAAGGAATGTTTCGATCGTAAAGAAAAAAGGTAAGGTAAGTGAAACATGAAGAATATTTAGGTTGCTCACTTGTGACTAACTCATCTTCTAAGTAGTTTACAAGAGAGCTTCCTCCTGCAGGAGAATACTGTGAATAGATTCATCTATCCCACAGAGGTTAAACATGTACATTTATAAAAAAATGGTTTTTGAAACTCTATTGTTTAGTTGGTTCTTACCACAGACTGGATATTTGCTACCATCTTGTGGTAAACTCAAAAATTACCACTTAAAAGACTCAGTCTTAAGAATTTAGCACAGTGGTTGAGAGTACCTACCATGTAAAAAAGTCAAGTACCTTGCTGAGAAAGGAAAAAGAAATTGATATTAGGAGGCCTAGAAAACCAGCCCTGGTAGTTATGAAATGACATACTATCTCCCACTCTTACCTATATGCCATAAGACAGAAACTAGCCATGAAGCCCACACAGCTCATTAAGGAAGAACACCACACAAAGGCAGGCATCCTAGGCAGTGGGCAGGATTCTAAGGCAAGCCACCTTAGAGACCAGCATCACTGATTTCTTTGCTTCTTTCCTTTGTTATTTCCTGTCCAGTGGTGTACTGAATGAATTTTAATTTTCTTTACTCTCTACTGGCTTGGAATATATTATATATCTGTTCTTTCTTTAGTTATCTGTGGTGATCTGAATAAGAATGGACGCCATATATTTGGCTTACATATTTGAATGCTTGGCCAACAGGAACTGGCAATATTTAAAAGGATTAGGAAGTATGGCCTTGTTGGAGGAAGTGTCACTGGCCCTGGGCTTTGAAGGTTCAAAAGCGCAAGCCAGGTCCCAGTGTCTCTCTCTTATTGCTGCTTGTGGATCAAGCTACCCCTCCAGCACCATGCCTGCCTGTATGCTGCCATGCCTCCTACATGACAAGAATGGGCTAAACCCCTGAAAGTAAGCAATCCCAATTAAATGCTTTCTTTTATAATTATATGTGGTCAGTGTCTCTTCACAACAATAGAACACTGACTAAAACAAACATTCTTAATTTTTTCACCTTTATAATGTATTGGACAATGTTTGAAGTTAGGGTAGGCACACTGCCTTTAATCAGAGGTAGAGGCAGTTGGAACTGGTCTACGTAATGAGTTCCAGCCCAGCCTGAACTACATAGTAAAATTCTACCTCAAAATATAAAAGAAGACAGAAACAATGTCACAAGTTAATCACTGTCCTGTGGAATATACCTCTGAACTCTGGACATAGTTTCTGGATGCTCATTTTCTTGTTTTCTATTTTTAGTCTTTGCTGCTTCTGTTTGTTCTAACAGCACTGGGGATCAACCCAAGGCCTTGCAGGTGCTAGGTAAGTACAACGTCACTGTGCTACACACCCAGCTCTTCTATTTTCTCCATAAAGTCTCTCTGTGTAGGCCAGGGTAGCCTCAAACACTAGACTCTCCCACCCCAGCCTCTCAAGCTTAGGGATTGCTGTTTTGTCTTTAAGATGGCCGTTAAATATTTTTCTCTCATGCAGTCTGTGCTTGCTTGAATTTCACATATAATACTTTTTACTCAAGACTCATCATACTACTGCTTCCAAGATTTATTATCTGAGTTTATTCCATGTTTACTACTTGAGTAGTTCATATTTTATGAAGCTTTTAAAAACAATCATCCCAATTTTCCAGACCATTCATTTCTGCTTTTTTTATTATTTCCCTTTTATTTAGTTTGAGGTTTCTGATAGTTTCTTCCTAGTCTCTTATGTTGGACACATTATTCCTTCATTGTTCCATGTTAAGAAAGGCAGTTACTGCTACAAATTTTCGAATTTCCATTTTACCTTATTGTTATTTCATGTTTTATCCTTATTTGTGAATTATTTAGAAATGAATTAAATTTTCAAACATACTGGATTTCCTTGGCCAACTTTTATTGTTACATTAGGACTGGAAAATATGAAGGAATGATAGTAATTTTATTAGAAGTACTGGGGTTTGAACTCAGGATTAAGACCAAATAATCTTTCTGCCTTGACCTTGTGCTAATTATTAGAAGAAAAATTGGCTATCTTTATTACCAAGTACACATTACCTTTTTGTTCCTCCTGGGTTTATTTTTTAGATGGCTTCTTAAGAAGCCCAAGTTAGTCTTGAACCAAAAAGGAAAAAAGAAATCATTCCTATGAGGTTCAGAATGTTTTGTCAGTCTGATAGATGCTGGAAGGGCAAACATGTACCAACTCTATGTACAAGTATGCACTATTTTTAAACAGGAGCTTGTACACAATGTATTTTGTTAATTCCTAGTCATCATATAGACTATGTATCATCACTGTGTTGCCCCAAATTTCTATGTCCTTGTATATGCTTTATTATTTAATCCATTTTTTTAAATTTTATATTTTTGAGACAGTGTCTTAACTAGTGAATTGGCTAACCAGGAACTGAAAGAGACCTGCCTGCCTCTAAAGTGATGGGACTAAAGGTGGGCACCATCATGCCCTAGTGACTTACTGTTTGTTTGTTTGTTTGTTTAAGCTGAGTTAACTTGGCATGGGCAGGCTCATCTACATATAGCCTTCCAGGCCAGCCAGGGCTAAAGAGTGAGACCCTGTCTCAAAACAAACAAAAAAAACCAGAATCCTCAAAATATGGACATAATGAAATAAAACCCAAAAAGCTGAAAAAGCCTTTCACTAAATACACACACACACACACACACATATATCTGTGTGTGTGTGTGTGTTCTGCAAGGGGGGAAATGAATAAATGAATGAATGAATAAATCACATGCAGCTGTAATACTAAGAAGATAGATGTGGTACTACCCATATCCTAGCTCCTGATTGCCCCTCAAAAGATAGTAATGGCATATCCTCCCATATACCTTCACCCCTGCTTCCACATATGCATAAAGCCTCAAGAAGGCCTATCTCATGAAAATGTATTTTTAATGTAACAAATGTATACAGATGTTTTTTTATCCTAGACAGAATCTCACTGTGTAACCATGGTACACAGTGGAAATCAGTAGGTAGACCAGGTTGGCCTTGAACTTGAAGATATACCTGTCTCTGCCTCCAGAGTACTGGAACTAAAGATGTGTGCACCACATCAGACTCCAATTATCCATTTTCTTAAAGACAAGATAGTCTCATATAAATGAAATAAACAACTAGTGTTTTATTTGTTTTTCAGTTTTTTGATGTTGGATCTCACTATGTACCTCTGGCTGTCCCGGAACTTGCTATCTACATAGCAGAGGCTGGCCTATTACTCACAGAGATCTACATGTACTATCATGTCTGGCCCTGCCAACTGGTTAATAACAACCTCAGGTTCTTGTATCAGAACTCGAAAAGAACATCAGTTCAGTATTAAGTATTTTCCTTCCTCAATCATATTCTCTTTTTATGGATTGATATCAAAATATCAGCACACACGCAAAATTAAATAAAAACATAAATTAAAACATGTATATTCGAACTGATAGAGAAGAACAGATAACACTAATTAATTTCATCATGCATTCAAATAAGCTAACAACAAAATATCAAAATATCAAAAATGGGTGCTGGCTCAGGAAGTAAAGCACTCATTGTATAAGCATGAAGACCTGAGTTTCGATACCCACCAGCCATATAAAAAGCTGATTGTGTAATTACAGATTATAGCTGTAATCCCAGCACTGGGAAGCAGAGCTCCAGGTTCAATGACTTTATCTCAGAAAATAAAGCTGGAGGGGCTGGAGAGATGGCTTAGAGGTTAAGAGCACTGGCTGTTCTATCAGAGGTCCTGGGTTCAATTCTCAGTACCCACATTGTAGATCACAACAGTTTATACCGGTACCTTTATGGGATCTATGTCTTCTTCTCATATATATATATATATATATATGCAGACCTAACACTCATATACATATAATGATAATAATAATAATAGTTGCAGTGCCAAAATGAGCCCATGGCATTAATCACTGGCCTCTGCATATGTTCACAGAGGTATGCATTCACTCACCCACAAAATAAATCGAAATCTTTACCTTATGCTTACCTTTAGCTGTGGCATGAACCACAGCAGCCTGAGAAATGACTTGATAGGTTTCAAAACCCAAATAAGACAAGGCTGAGAACAAAATGCCTCCCTTGAAAAGTCTTGTATTTCCTATCACCTATAGAAAATAATATATTAAAATTATGAAACTCAAGAAATTGTAAAGACATTTCTACCCCATTCAAAACATATCCATTTTCTCTCACCTCTGAAGCAAGTATTATAGAATGCTAAAAGCTAAAAGAAATAGTTTACCAATTCTTTACTAAAACTTTCAAATCTTGCATTCAGTACATCTTAGTAATGGAAGTAGTAGTTTGTTTAATGGTCAGTTGTAGACTAGAAATGTAACTCATGGGTAGAACATCATGTATGAAACACTTGGTTCAAGACCCAGAACCTCAGAACCTCGAAAAGGATGAATGAATGACTGAATGAGTGAATAAATATGTCAAATATGACTTATATTTTTATGGAAATCTTTTTACAGAGACATAGGTACATTAAATTGTGTGGAATAATATTATTAATAAATTATTCAATTAATTCAATGATACTTTAAACTAACATTTAATGAAACTAATAATAGACAAGCTGAAAACTCCAATAATTATTACACATGAAAGTAATATGCAATTCTCAGTGAGGATATTGTCCAAAGACCCCACAGCTTTTAAATAGATATTGAATAATACTCATATTTAAGATGGGTATGGTAGCACACACCTATCACTCAGGAAGTAGAAACAGGAGGACCAGCAAGATATTCAAGGTATAAACTGGGGAAAACCATTTCATCACCACAACCAAGATAATAAGCACTATCCTCTTTGTAATGACTTTCCCAGCACTGGGTTTTGTTATGGTTAAAACATTTCAGTTTGTTTTTGAAATATTCTCGTGGTTTTCTTACTATCTCTTGACTGTTCCTTCTCTTTGTTCATCTCTAATGTCTTCTTGCCTGTTTATTATTTGTGTCTAGAGCATAATTCCAGATCTTTTTTTGTATTTGTGACCTTATTTCTTCTCACCGTCTTAAATGGCAGATTTGACCCATTCTGTCTCTAGCCTGGATATCTCTTCTAAACTTGAGAATCACTCAACATCTGTCTCTCCATCGAGTCTATTATGAATTTCATCTCCTCTCAGCTGTCCCTATGATGGTAAATGGGATCTGTCTTCCAGTTGTTCCCGTTTTTGTTTTGTTTTTATTTTTAGATTCATCTATTATATTTATGTGCATGAGCACTTTTCCTGAACGTATGTGCCATGTGCATGCCTGGTGCCTGCAAACGATAGAAGAGGGTGTCAGATCCTCTGGAACTGGAGTTACCAAACGTTGTAAGCCACCATGGAGGTGCGGGAAATGGAAACTGGGTCCTCTAAAAGAGCATCAGATGTTCTTAGCAAGTGCTACTGACCTCCCTCTCCAGACTACTTGTTCAGTTTTTAAAAACAAACAAAAGCCACTGAAGCATCTAGATTTTCTAGAAATCCACATCTAAACTTCTGATGTAGTCTTAGACCAGAAAATGGAAAATTCAACACATTCCAATTTGCTGAATGCTCTGATAAAACCAAATACTCAAGATATTAGTACTAGTGTATTAAAAACAAATCAACAACAAAATAGCATTTTATTTTCTGAATGTATTCTTACTTTCTAAAAACAGGCTAGTGGTGTAGACCAGTTTAAAGAGTTTTGCCAAGCATGTAAGAAACCCTGGATTGGATCTTTAGCATCACATTAACTGGTCATAATGGTGGTGCTTCTGTAATTACAGTACCAGCCAGGGAGCTAAGCACAAAAGGATCAGGAGTTTGAGGTCACCCTTGGCTACATATCTGGGACACATAAGATCTTGTCAAAAAAAGAGAAAGAAAGGGGGGAGGGAGGGAGGGAGGAAGGAAGGGAGGGAGGGAGGAGAAGGGAGGGGAGGGGAGAGGAAAAGAAAAGAAAAAGGAAAGGGAAAAAGGAGAAGGAGAAAGTTGGACTAGGGAGAAGGTATGGCAGGGTCATAGGTATGATTCTAGTACCTAGTTAAAAAAAAAAAAAACCAGGAGGGAAAGACCAAGATTTTTAACATTAAATCTTAGTAGCCTATTAATCAACAGGTAATGACACAGTAGAAAGGATGTATATTGTATTGTAATTTGAGAAAATGTCACATTTAATATGTTCAACTTTTTGTGCTTAAGTTATACACGGGTTTCTTAAATGGGAGACGCATGTCCACTGAATGACTATATTTCTCCTTGTAAATTCATAATATCACACATTGCCCCTTTACTCCTCAAATTTCCCCTGGCAGTCATATCTCACTAAGTAGTACCACCATCCATTAGGCTGTTTCAGCTAGGAACTTAAATATTTCTCCTTGAGTCTTCTTAACCTCTTCCGTGAAACTATAATTCTATATTCTTAAAACTCGTTGAATGCATCTGCTTATTTACATTTCCACTAAAGTGTAAACCACATCTCTCACCTATCCTACACCAAGATCTATCTAGCATTCCCTCTTGTATATCCATTCTGACTGTACACTGTTATTTTTTTCAGTGAAAATCTGTTCAAATGACTTCCTTGTTTGAATGTCTTATTTGGTTTCCTATAATCTTTTGACTAAAATCGGAAACAATAGTTTATCAGGTTGTTACATCCTGTACTTCTTGTTGTGTCATGTAAGTAGGTGAGATATAAAGGTCAGAGAATGATGACTTTGGATACTCCGTCTCTCCTTCACTCTGGGCCAGAGCATCAAACAGCTTGGTCTATAAAGTTTTCTGAAGTAGAGTGTCAGAAGGCAATTTATCCCATGTGTGCTACTTTCCCTTACAAGTACTGTGGATTTATTGACCTCAGGACTTTCCAAGAGTAAGTGTAGAAGACCACAAAGTTCACTCTCTTCTCTTCTACCCACTGCCCATTCTGATGAAAGTCAGCTGCAATGTCTCCTGGCAACAGTAGCATTGTGGAGAAACTACCTGCCTCCTGCCAAATGAGAGTGTGGAAACAGAACTTCTTCCTTCTATCCTCAGAAACTGAGCTAACAAAACAAAACGAAAAAAAACAAAAACAAAAACTAAAACATACAAACAAAAAGCTGAAGAAGCTAGAGAAATGACTCATTGCTTACGGGCACTAGCTCCTCTTCCAGTGGACCAGCACTGATATGGTAACTAGGTACTAGGCATACATTTGCTGCACATACATATGTGCAGGCAAAACATATAATACACATAAATTAAATTTTTAAAAAAGGAGAAAGGAAGGTAGGTTTTTGGTTTAGCTTTCATACCTGGAATACTAGCACTCAGAAGGCAAAGGCAAGAAAACCACTTGAGATGGGTGCACATTAAACTTAAGGCCACTCATAGTCACTTAGGGAGGCCCTGTCAAAACAAGCAAATAAACACATCCACAAAACAAAACCCTGAGATGTTAAAGGAGACCTCAGCATTTGAAAGCCTGGCTAAACCTCATGAGAGATCTTTTTTTTTTTGGGGGGGGGGTCTGGCAACAGAGTTTTGGAAGTTAGACACCCAGTTAAGCCATATTTAGATTTCTGACCTACACACACCACTGATAGTAACTGTATAAAGCAGGCTTTTAAAGGCCATACTTTAGGGTTTAAAATAACAAAATAGTTACCAGAAATACATCTTAGGAATCAATGCCATCCTTTTTCAAGAATAAAGACAGTCATGGACAGTCTAATAAAAACATCAGAACTGAGATAGACAGACGGGGGGTGGGGGGGGGGGAGAGGAGAGAGAGGGAGACAGAGAGAGAGAGAGAGACAGACAGACAGACAGACAGACACAGACAGGGAGACAGGGAGACAGAGAGAGGGACTCAACAGCTTTAGCGTGTATAAAAAATCAAGAAACTCAAGGATAATTACTGCAAAAATAAATTCACTTGTTGAAAAATTCAAAGTTACATCACAAATATTTCTGCCCCCAGGTGTGAGGCAAAGGTTTATTAACACTGAACTTCTTTTTTCTTTTTTGACTATTTATTTTGGGACACGCGCTCACTATATCGCCCAGACCAGCGCTGAACTGGCTCGCTATGCCAACCTTGACTTTGCAATCTCCTTCCCTGGACTCTGGGAGCTGGGACTACAGCATTGAGCCACCGGATAGAGCTGTCTGAGGTAATAACCTGTGTCCAGATACCTTTGGTGGCTTTGCTGAAAGCGACTTTCACAACGGTCAAAGTTCTTTCTTCACCTTTCTATGTTCGGACAGGAAGGGCAAGGAGGACGCACCCCTGTCATAAGGCCAGCTGTCTCACAGGAGGTTTGCAAAACCTGGCCCTCTAGCCCGGATGCTGGACCTCCAGACCTGGAGACGGGGGCACCCCGAGGCCCTGCTGAGGGTGAGTGCAGGACCAGGACAGCGGGTTACCTCGGAAGTGCGGAATCCCCAGCTGCCACGGCGCCCACGGCTGCCCCAGGTCCTCGCCAGCTGACAGACGCTCTGCTCGGCTCTGCGTCGCAGAGGGAGAAGACCACATAGTCGCGAGGACAGCGCCATGACTGACAGCTTCCCACCCTTTCTGACTACGAGCCGGAGGACTTGACAGAACGGGGCGGGGCGAAAGTCATTGCCCGAACCGAGTTCCAGAGGCCCGCCAGCACCGCCTCCTCACGCCCGCTTCCGGGCCGTGGTTTCCGAAGACCGGAAATAACTCCGGGTGGGGGGGTGAAATGGGTGGAAGGGATTCATCACGCATGCGCGCAACAAGCTGGGAAGCACCCTGGCTATCGGCAGCTGTCTAGTATAACTTTTGTGGGAGCTTTTTTTTCTTTTTTTTTCTTTTTCGAGACAGGGTTTTTCTGTATAGCCCTGGCTGTCCTGGAACTCACTCTGTAGACCAGACTGGCCTCGAACTCAGAAATCCGCGTGCCTCTCCCTCCCAAGTGCTGAGATTAAAGGCGTGCACCACCACCGCCCGGCTTGTAGGAGCTTTCATAAAAAGCGTTCTAAACTCTTCAACAGTAAAGTGAATCCTGGCACTTATGATCCTTTTGGAAAGTAAATGCTTGAATGAATTAGATTGTCTTACAGAAAGGAGAGCGGAAAACACTAGAGCCTGGGGGTAGTGAGAACTAAACGAGAAAAAAAAAAAGAGCAAAGCCCCGTGAGACTTAGTCAAGAAATACCAGAAAAAGAAGTCCTACCCTAGCCAGAGTTCAGAGTGCTTCCCTAGCTTGCATGAAATCCTGGGTTCACTTCTCAGCACTGTGTAAGACTGGAGTGGTAGCGTAGGACAGGTGGTCACATAAAGCAGGCGTTCAAGGTCACCCTCAGCTATATAATGAGTTGGGTGCTAGCATAGATTCTGGGAAACTCTTGTCTCAAAAAAGAAAAAAATAAAAGTTGATTGTTGTAATCTCAGCACTGTTACGTTGATTTTAAAGACATCCAGGACTACTTAGTGAATTCCAGGCTACTCTCAACTACTGGGTATGACTGTTAGACTCTGCATTTTAAAAATTCAGATAGATACCCCAGTGCTTTCCTGGGTAGGGACACGTAAAGAAAAAGACCAGTCATCTCCTAGAGAGAGAAAAATCAGATTTTAATTTAACTTACATTTATTGCCTTAAATAGTTTAAAAGCTCATTTGCTAAAGGGGCTAAGTGGTGCTGGGACCTTTTATGTCCTTTAACCCTTATATTATTATCTCATTTAATCATCGTTCAGTGTAGATAGTAACTGCATGTTATAAATGAGGAAGATATGCTTCAGTACGAGTTTGAATTCTCCAGAATCACTCATGCCCGTGAGAAAAGAGATAGAACAGGTGTTTAAAGCAAGCTTCCCAGCTGCAGAAACATAGAAACATGAGGCATTGCTTTTGCTATTACATACATCATGTTCATTTCAGAGAGGATGGAGAAATGTGCCTGTAAATATTGCACTAAACTTTGGCAAATCCACAAGATACGCTGTTTTGTTTGTTTTTAAGTGGGGGTTGACGGGCGGGAATCTCTGGAGTTGGAACTGGGGTGACAAGGGCTAACTACCGAGCATTATCATTCTCAGTCTCCACGTTCTTATTTGACACTTTATTAGGTTGTTCTCTAATTGTCTCAAAGATCAACTATCTGCTTATGATAATAGAGTTCTCATCTGTTTATGCTGCAGCATCATGGCCTATTTAATAAATAGTATTATATTTGTCTATTTTCACATTAAATACATGATACAAATACATTATATTAAAAATATGTATAGCCTTCTTAACTTCTACTGAATCCTAGTTATTTCCACAAAAGAAACCACTTTTACATATCTCTACTGCAAGCTAGTTTAGTCTTGATAAGTAATATGTTTATACACCATTGGATGCCATAATCATCCTGAGATTCCATTTCTGACCTCCACTACAATGAATTCCAGTTTTGTGTGTGCTTCTGTGAATAAACCTAGAGCCTTGTACATGTTAGAAAAGTTCTGTATAACCCTGATGCATGCATAGCCTCACCAACAATAGATTTCATTGGATATACTTATGTTGAAAAGGGTGTTTACCTGAAATTTAGATTTATCTCATTATCTTAAATTTGTCTGGCAATCTTACTTGGTTTTCAATAGTTAGGCATCATTACTTTAGAGACTGTGAATAAAGTTCTGTTGGTAGAGTGCTTTCCTTGTTTGATTGAGACCATAGGTTCAATCTCCTGCACTGCCTGTTTATTTTCCTTGAATCAACTGAAGTTGTATACTTTTTTTGGTCAAAAACATCATATGTGATATATGCTTTTCATCCTTTTGCTTAAATGTAACTTTAATTCTCCTGCTGTAATTGTCTTCTCCATGGCTTATTGCCTCAGTCTGCTAACCTAGTCCTAGTCTTGGAAGCTTCTTTATAGTCTCCATTAAATCTTATCTAGGCCTAGAATATTTTAAGCTTCTGAGAGTTACTGGTGAATAAGCTCACCCTTCCTTATTCTTTCTGATCTCTGGCTGGCTGGTTCAACTCAGGTGTCCTGGCTCATACTCATCTTCAAGCTGACTGATTTAATCAATCAGCTACTCTCAGTTTCTGACTGAAACACTCTGTGTGGCTTCATACTCACTTTGGCAATATGTTCTAGTCTTTTGGCTGCTTCTGGTTCTCTGGCTCATCTGTCTAGCTTGTTCTCTCTCTGCAACCTGTCTCTCAATAACTGTCCCAGTAAAACTGCCTTCTTTCCTTTTGTCTCTGTGCTGTTTTCTTTATTCTCTTTCTTTCTTTCTTTCTTTCTTTCTTTCTTTCTTTCTTTCTTTCTTTTTTTTTCGAGACAAGGTTTCTCTGTGTAGCCCAGGCTGTCCTGGAACTCACTCTGTAGACCAGGCTGGCCTCGAACTCAGAAATTCGCCTGCCTCTGCCTCCCAAGTGCTGGGACTAAAGCCGTGGGCCGCCACCACCACCACCCGGCATCCAGCATCTGTGCTGTTTTCTTAAGTAGCCTCTTCCCAGCTTTCTTCTGGTGAGAGTTGGGTATATCCTATTCTGTCAAATCTTTCTTTGATTTATCACTTTGTCTGCCTTTCAGGTAGACATCACTTTCGAACATGGGTGCTTCCTTCTACATACTAACTTTACTTTCATAGTTTGGGATTAAAGGTGTGTGTGCTAAGGGCAGAACCACATCACATCTAGAAATAGATTGTTTTCAGGAAATAACACAATCTTGGGGTTCACAATGTGTTCAAATATTTTACAACACCTTTGCATACTGAGGCTCTTGATATCATTTTGTCCTATTATTTGTCCTATTATTATGATTATTTTATGTGCATGTTTTTGAACCCAAGACCCTTACTCTCATGGTCCCATTCAGTCGAGACATTTCCATGCCTCCAGACATGCTCTCCCTCATAGCTACAATAAGCCTTTTCTACCCATACCAGTACCATCATGTCCTTCCCCCCGCCACCCCCTCTTCTTTCCCTCTTTTTCTTTTTCTTTTTTTTTTTCGAGACAGGGTTTCTCTTTGTAGCCCTGACTGTCCTGGAACTCACTCTGTAGACCAGGCTGGCCTCGAACTCAGAAATCCGCCTGACTCTGCCTCCGAAGTGCTGGGACTAGAGGAGTGTGCCACCACCGCCTGGCCCCTCTTTTTCTATGTAATATCTTCTAATCTTCTAGTAACAAGAAAAGTACAAACACTTGTAAAACACTTAAGTATATATACGATAGATGGTGTAAAACGCCAGGTAGGAAGGTTAAGGAGAAAAGACTATAGATGCACTTCTGTGAGCCTTTTCAATTCTATGTTATTTCCTTTTCCCCCTTTCAATGTTCAGTACTGAACACAGAGCCTTACTTGTGCTAGGCATTCAGCACTTTAGAACTGAACTACGACCTCAGCCAAACATTGCAGTCCTAAACTGGATAATGGCCAGAGAAGACTTCACGCAGAACTTTGGAATTAATACCCAAATAAGCGAGTCATGAGGATCGTTAGGGACACAGCATTTTATGTAGAATAAAAGAAACAGGCAAAGTTTGCTCTGGAAGAGTAGATGGAAATCTATGCGCAGTAGGCAGGAGGAGGTCGTGAGAGATAAAGATCAGTGATAAGGCAGGTGACTAGCAGTAGTTTCTCTTCACACTGTATGTTTGCTTTGTATGACTAGGTCATATTTAATTTACATTTTATTTTGGGTCATTCTATATTGAGAGTACACTAAAGGGGAGCATGTTTGACCTACCAGGGCAATCCCCTTAAAGGAAACTAACTCACTTTCTCCCTGCAATTATCAGTTACTAATGCATTGCTAAGTCAAGAGTAAGAATTCATACCCATTGCCCCTCTCCATGCTGAGATTTTTGTCTTTTGCAGGTCTTTCCATGCTGTTAAAGTTGCTGTGAGCTCATATTTAAAACTGCCCAGAAAACTCTGGCTCTTACATTTTCTGCTTTGTGTCTTCTTTAATGATCACTGCTGGGTCTTGGAAGGAGGGGGTGTGATGAAATTATCCCATTTAGGGGTCAGTTCTCCTTAGTCTCATCTTCTGTGCTTTGGACATTTGTGGGACTCTGTGCGTCACTGCTGCAAGCAGAAGCTTCTCTGATGAGCGTTGAGAGGTGCATTAATCTATAGGGTTTAAAAGGATTTCCACGGTGCAGCTTGTAACGGATCACAGCAGGCCAAGATGGTTCCACGAGGGGAGATTTATTAAGAGAGTGGAGAGAGGGAGGAGAAAGAGAGAGGAGTAGGAGAGTAGAGGCCGGCCATGACCACGTGGAGAGAGGGGGAAAGAAAGGGGGGAGAGGAGACGATAACCTTCAGGTGCTGGGTCGAGAAGCCGGGGAGAGAGAGAGAGGAGGGGCCAAGCAGCCCCTTTTATAGTGGGCAGGGTTACCTGCCTGTTGCCAGGTAACTGTGGGGAGGAGCGTACCTGGCTGTTGCCAGGTGACTGTGGAGGTGGAGTTTAACAGATTACTAACAGGGTTAACAATAAGTCATTAGGAGTTGGTTTGATACTCTGTCCGTTTAGCGGAATAATTATAGTAGGCTCTACGCTGGGTCTGTGACCTGTCTAGCTGATTATGGTGCCAGGTATACGTTTCATTTTGTGGAGTGGAACATAAATCCAATCAGAAAGTGGTGGATTTATTCCCATGATGTTTCTGCCACTATTGCACCAAGGGTATGTCTTTCCAGGCTGCACATCACTGTACCTCACAGGATTCATGGCTGGGGTAAGACTGAGATTGCATTTCTCCTCTGGTAGCATACATATCACATCCTATTCTTTAGTTATTTCTATTGAGTGCTTCCTCCCACCTTTCTTTTTCTCATCAATTTAAGTGAAGTGACTTTTGCCAGATTTGTGGTAAGACTGTTCTTTTGTCTTTGTCAATTTTTATCCCATTTTTTTCAGCAGATATTTTAAATTTTTATGCAATAGAAGATGTGACCTTGATTACCCACCATCATAGGCATTTTGAAATTGGTATAGTCTGGTAACTTTAGGCAAATTGAACAACTATTTACCTGCCACAGTTCATGGTATTCATTTGTACCATTCTTATGAAAAGGTACGTGGCACTAAACACATAACAAAGCTTTTGTGACGATTAAATAAAGTAAATATGCATATTAAATAAAATAACCATGTAAAATGACTCTGGGAAGGTGTACACTGAACCACTCTACAGAAGGATGGTTAAGGGCTAACATTTCACACTATTTCTCTGTCTGGATTTGTTTTCTTTTTTTAAGGTTTATTTGTTTTGCAGGTATGAATGTTTTGCCTGCATGTTTGTACACACACACACACACACACACACACACACACACACGCACGCACGCCTGCTGGCCTTGGAGATCAGAAGAGAATGTCTGATCCTCTGAATGTTCTAGATGTTTGTGAACTACAGACCGGAAACTCTGCAAGAGCAACAAATACTCTTAACTTCAGAGCCCTCCAGATCTAATAATTTAATGCCTAAAGTCAACTATGGGTTTTGTAAGAACTCTAAAAGGGTCAGCGGGTTGAGGCACAGCAATGGAAAACTGGGAGTGGAAACGGACTGGGGAGCAAGCTCACCAAAGGCAAAACTTCAACTTGGTCCCGCCCACAAGCTCCGCCCTCGCCCCAGCCCTGCCGGGACTCCGCCCACGAGCCCCGCCCCTCCTCGGTCCAGCCCTCAGGTTCCAGTAAAGCCCTGCGGTCCTGCCGCCTTGCGGTACTCTTTGCTGGCTCTCCACCCTCACTCGACCTCTTCGGCGAGATAGCTTGTGAGTGCGTGACTTTTCCTAGCTCGGGAGCTGTGTGGCCCAGCCCAAGCCTGCAGCCTCTCGGGAAGCGGGCTGCTCCCGGGCGGAAAGACTTAGGGCCCTCAGCCTTCGCGCCGCTCGGCCCTCCGGGCCCCGGGCGCTGGAAGTGCTCCGTGGGTTTCCGGTGCCCACCCTGGGGACTCCTGAGTGTCGCGTGCTGTGTCCGCGGCCGACTGAGGTCCGGGGTTGGGGGTCATCCTGGGGCCGCGAGCGCCTCCTGGGCCTGCAGCTCGCGCACCTGGACAACCCTGGCAGGGATCGGCGGGCCTCGAGTGGAAGGGCAGGGTGGGGCGGAGGGTTACAGCCCCGAAATCTCGGCCCCGCTCAGCGGGGAAAGAGTGGTGAACCAGACGAACCGGTCCTGTGGAGGAACGGTGGAGGATAGGCTGCGTGCTCTGGGAAAAGGTGATTCTGAATTGGTGCAAAGCCGGGACTGCTTGAAACCCTAGCAGCTACTGCACCTGTACCAGCTTCGAAAGTCTGTCCAGGGCTTTGGACTCCCTGCACGCGGGACGTGGAAGAAGGGCAGTGGCATTTGTTTTGCAGACAGAAACTTGACCGAGCATAGTGTCCGTTAGAGCTGGCCCTAATGCACTAGAAGGTGATCAGCTTTTGTTTCTTTCTGTTGTCTGTGGCCGCCTCAGAATAATCAAATAGAGGGTAAAGTAGGGTTAAATATACCAGTGGACTCCAGTGATCCACCACCACTGTGTTAAGACCGGTTTTTATACATGGTTAGCTCACAACAAGTTTAAATGGGACTATTATCTTTTTCACTCCTCAGGAAACTGGAATTAACTTAGTTATGAAACTGTGAAAGTGGTAGCATTAGGTTTCGATTCAGGACTCTACGTTTTTTGTAGTATACGATTTACAAAAGTAAAAAGTATTCATTTCACGAGTAAGGCAGTGATTATCTGTCTAGTTTCAAGTATGTTCTGAGGTTTGTTAGCTGTCTAACCTTTGGGTGAGATATCTAATCGTTTAAGGTGTGTTTCTGTATTTGTATAGCACTGATATGTCATAGAGTTGTGAAGATTAAATAAAATGTAGATCACTCAGTGAAGTGTCTGGTACATAATAATTTCATTCATATATATATATATATATATATATATATATATATATTCACATACATCTTGTTCTTAGATATCAGATCTGAGTTCTACCAGTCATAGTTAAATAAAACCTGTTCAGCCTTAAAACACAGGTACAGGGAAACAGCACAGCTTAGGAAGAGGTAACAGAACAGTTGACCTATGATAGTAGTTGTAGTGACAACAATGGATCCTCAGATCAATCTGCTTTTCAAGGGCTTCTTTACCTCTGTTTCGAGAATTCAACCCACTCTAACCTGGAAATTTAGAGCCCCATCTCCCAAGATTGGACCATGCAGAAGTTCTCTGAATGAGGCAAAACTGAATTTCTGGTTTTTACAGATTAAAACATGCCTGGCACAGGAAGGGAAGGAAATATTCTCTTTCAGAATCTCTTCTCTGATCTTTCCCCCTAAAGCTGAGGTTCTAGATTGAGGGAGCAAAGTTATTCATTGCCTCTAAAGGTATGTTGATAATTGGACATCTCTTTTATCTATTTAACTTTACTTAGAACTGTGAACAGCTATAGACAATGATCTATAAAATAAAGCCTTTCATCCCAGCACTCAGGAGGCAGAGTCAGGTAGGTCTCTAAGTTTCAGGCCAACCTGATATATAGAGAGAGTTCCAGGACAGCCAGTGCTACACATAGAAACTCTGCCTCAAAAAACAAACACAAACAAACAAAAAAAAGCAAAACAAGAAAACTAACAATTATATATTTTAAGGTATTTTATGGGGCTGATGACCAAGCTCAGTGTAAGGGAGCTTGTCTAGCAAGCTGATGGCCTTGGGTTTAGTCCTCCAACACTAAACTGAACACATGTAATTGAATAAAATATTTATTAATGTTCTTTACAGTGAAATTTCATCTGCACTTGCATCTACTCAAGCACTCAGCTCATATTGTCTCTGTGACTTCTCAACTCTTTTTTATGCCTTTGTACATGGTGTTTTGTTTCTTGCTGTCTTTTGGTGCTGTCCTCAGATTCCATTTATAATTGTTAATCTGTCTCTTTTCCAAAAATTTCTTTCACTGATGAATTAAGTATACTTGGCAGCGGAGTCAAGAAAGATTATGTTGGATGTGAACAATAATTTCATGACATTAATGTTCATAATGAGGCACTATTCTTCGTCAAAGCATCATCTTGCTGGTGGATCTTTTAGTAAGAATCAATACCACTTCCATTAGTTCTGAGCCTCTTAAGGACTCCAAACCACTGTTAAGTCCTTTCTGAGGCCCTTATGTTACAGTCTAACTTTCTTCTAAAGTGCTTTTGTTTTGTTTTAATGTTTTTAATTTGTCTTTGTAGATACTGTTGCCAAGGTTAAAGCCTAAATGAACAAGGTAGAAGACTTGTAGAAGATTTGTTAAGAGTTGCCAAGAAAGAACTTAAATGACCACTTATCATAGATTTTATTTAACATTAAGTTTTTCATGCTGATAACGAAGGGAACTTATATATACATTTTGATAACATTCTGATAGCTAAATTTAAACTGTAGTGTAGCTATGTTGAACACTGGTTTAAATGTATCTGAAGAAAGCTGGGAGTGGGCTACAGGGATTTGATTTTTTTTTTTTCTTTTGGAGAGGCTTTTCATTCTTTTTATAACAGCTCAACTAAAAGGAATCATAACCTTTAAAAAGACATGAAAATTAACAGTACTATGGTCACACCAATTTGTTTGTTTGTTTGTTTTGTTGTTGTTTTTTCGAGACAGGGTTTCTCTGTATAGCCCTGGCTGTCCTGGAACTCACTCTGTAGACCAGGCTGGCCTCGAACTCAGAAATCCACCTGCCTCTGCCTCCCAAGTGGGTCACACCAATTTGTATAAGGTAAATAGCACATTAAGACAATTTCTCTATGAGGAAGGAATTTTACACAGTCACTTTAGTAAACCACTGTCTTATGAAATAGATATATTATGTCTATTTCCTGTAAAAATTACCAAAGCAAAAATGTGAGTGGTGAGGTTTATAGTGTCATCATATTAACTTCAGTTTTCTGTTTTGCTCTGTTTTTTTCTTTTCTTTTTTCTTGTGTATTTATTTGAGGCAAGAGTTTTCTGTGTAGCCCTGGCTATCCTCTGCTTCCCCTAAGTGTTGGAATTAAAGGTGTGTGCCACAACTACCCAGCCTCTTCTCTCTTTCTCCTTCTTTTTCTCTCTCTTTTCTTTTTCATATAGAGTCTTGAGTAGCCTAGTGGAAAGAGCAGAACAGTAAATGCAAGGATAACATTCACCTCGTGCCTCCACCTCTCAAGTGCTGGCATTACGGGTATGTGTAACCACACCCAGGTACTTACCGACTGAAGGTTTTGTTTTACAGTTCCTCTGAACATTAAGATGATATTGCTTTAAAGTTCCTGTTTGCAAATGTGAAAAGGAGTGGAAATTTATTTCTTTCTGGCTGGACATCTTTTTACTGTTTTTTCAAAACAGGGTTTCTCTGTGTAGTCCTGGCTGTTCCGGGAACTCTGTAGACCAGGCTGGCCTCAAACTCACAGAGATCCTCTTGCCTTTGCCTCCTGAGTGCTGGGATTAAAAGCTTGTGCCACCACCACCTGGCTTGGGATGATAAGTTTTAAAAAGAAGTGAAAATTTAAACAAATATTTCCTGGTGGTCTTGTCAGAAGAAATTTTTGAAATTCCTGTAAGTGCAGCATACCTGCAGTGTTTACTTTCTGTTCTGCTTTTCTCCTCAGCGTTGATTCCCATTAACCCTACTCAGCTCACTTACCTTTTCATCCTGTAATCACATTCATGTGAGAGTCTCCATATGTCAGCGTTGGTTCCCCAATGACTCAAAAGAGTGCCTGACACGGGGCAGGTGATCCTCAGGAATTGCGTGAACTGGTATTAGATGAGTAATAGTGTTATTAAATATTAATGATTAGGAGATGTAAAAGGATTTGCCAGAAAGTTAAAAACAGCTGTGATGTATATGGTAATCAATGCTGATGTGAATATTCTAGAAATCGGAGAATGTGTAAACATTTCATAGTTTTTGTTCAGTCAGTATATAATCATTTATTTATGTCGAGAATGCCAGCCCATGCTCTATTACTGAGTGATACCCAGAACGATAGAAACTTTCAAACATTGAGAATGAAAGTAGTAGTTGTTTTAGCTTTAAACCAAAGGAATTTGTTTATTTGGGGGTAAGGTCCTAGGCTGACCTTGAACTCATTTCTCCTGCTTTACCTGGCACAAAAGACCATCATGCCAAAAAGAACTTTTCTATCATTGTTCACTATGAACTAGAGAGGCACTATGTGACAAATGAAACTGATCTGAGCCAGCAGAGAGGTCTGCATATCCTGCTAAGAAGGGAAGATAGGGAGCCATATTTAAAAAGCAGGTGTGTAGAGTACAAACATAGTTCCCTGGTCATGCAGGAACCTCTGATGGTTCAACCCAGGGAAGTAACTAGAAGCAGAAACGTGACAGAGCTCCAGGCAAAGGAGAATTGTAAGGGCTTGAGTTTCGGTAGATCCCACGCCTGAGTACATTATCCACACTTCTGCTGCACAGCTGCCCCGCAGCCTTACTGCATCTCTACCTTACATTGACAGCTAGTGACCCTGATGTGTGTTGACATAAGGTGACTTGCAGCGTTGCTCCGTATTTTATAGCCAAGCATGTTAAGATGCTTGTTTCCTAAAGTGAGATGATATTGAGGTCCTGGTATTCTTGGTTAAACACCTGCATCAATTACTGTTCTCTCTGCAGTGAAAAATGACTACAGAAAGCAAATCTAGAAAGTGTAGTCTATGGCAGGCATGGGAGGTGGCTGCTCACTTTATACATGGCTGTGTTCAGAGAGCAGTGGATCCTGGCACTTCGCTTGCTCTCCTC